CCATCGGACAATTTTCTGCAAGATGTCAAGACGGTTGTATCAGAAAGTTTGAACGTCTTCCTCGAGAAAGTGATAGTGAGTAAAAAAGTTGGTTCTCACGAAAAGTGGAAAATAAAGTGTACGAGTATAGCACATGCTATAATCAGCGCGGCAAGACCCCGATCGTTTTTGTCGCCGTTGCAAATCGGACTCGCAGCGTTTTTGAACAAAAAGTACGCATCTAGGAAATTGCTCGAAGTATTGTCAGCTTTAGGCTTCTGTTCATCGTACCAAGAAGCAGTGCGTTTAGAGATCTCTGCTATAATGCGTTCACCGATATCAATCGATTCTCAGTCATTCTCACAGTTTGTATTCGATAATGCAGATTTCAATACGCAAACATTGGACGGCTTGAATACATTTCATGCAATGGGCGGAATCCAATGTCTAACTCCTTCAACAGCTATTGCTCCCGATCAAAAAATTGAACGTCTCACGTTCAATGCCACGTTCAATGCTCACGAACAATGCCAACATCTAAAGTTGTCGGAAATTTCGGATCTGTTCCTCTCATGACGTTTGAGAAAAAAAAGGAATCTGGTTTGAAAGCAATTAAAATTCTCAATTTAGAAGATATTCATCCAGTTTCCAGCCAACTTTTGCCATCTTCATCGGATTTGCTCTGGCTGTATGGAAAATGGGCCGATTTGCCTTTCATACCGGGATGGAATGGTTTTATGGAAGAAGCAACTAAAGACAAATTATTCTCTAAAACGAAAATACTGTGTTTGCCATTTACTAATGCGCCTCCCAGCGATTATGATACTATTTTTACAGTACTAAAAATTGCTGCAAAAAAATGTGAAACTGCAAATCAACAAACATGTTTCGTGACATTTGATCAGCCGCTTTGTATAAAAGCGCGAGACATCATCTCGACAAGCGGTCCGGAATCGAATTTGGAAAATGTTGTGATAAGATTGAGTGGTTTTCATTTATTGATGTCTTTCATGGGATGCATAGGTTATATTATGGCTGGAAGTGGACTAAAGGAGCTTCTGATCACGATTTATGCACCAAACTCTGTAGACAAAATGATGACGGGTCATGCAATGCACGTGCGCTGAGAGCTCACATACTAACCCATCTGGCTTTTGCAAAAATTGTATTTCAAATGGTAGATTTCACTGAAGAACATGAAGCAGTAATAATTATTCTCGGTGACATAGACAGATCAGTGGTTCTTACTGCAGAGGATCAGTCTTTTTATAAAACATTCGAGGATAAATTTGCACAGCTACTCGTAAAACTTGAAAATTATGGTGCAACTGCAAAATTATGGGTACAATATTTTCGCATGGTGACACTCGTCAAGCAATTCATCGAGGCAGAAAGATCAGGAAATTGGCAACTGCATTTGCAAACCATTCAAAAAATGCTTCCTTTCTTCCATGCCTGTGGTCATTTTTCTTACGCAAAATCAATACAATTATATCTTCAAGATATGATAGCTTTGCGTGAGAATATGGCACCTAAAGAGTACGAGCAATTTACAACGCAAGAATTTTTCACAATTCGACAAACGGATAAATTTTGGAGCGGAACATGGACAAATATGTGCATTGAACAGACGCTGATGAGGACGATGAAAAGCATTGGCGGACTGACTCACGGACGAGGAATCGAAGATAGTGTTCTGACTATGTGGACTCTGGGCACAGTATTTTTGCATAATATTTGCGATGAAATTGAAGAATTTAGTAACGTACGTTTTGCTGCAACCGAACAACACGTCGACATGAGAACATCACGAGTTATTCGCGATAATGAGGACGTGCAGAAACTTAGCGACTGGCTAGCTCAACATCCTCCTTTCCCAGAAATCCAAGAACTGATGTCGATAAGTACTGGAGTGATTGGAGATGAGAAAATAAACTGCCACATGGCGCAAGAAATCGGGATATCAAACATGTCTAAGGTAATTGGTACTGATTTTCACTCAGTTAAATTCAAACGAAAAAATAATGTAATTTCTCTTGCTACTGTCAATGCAAATCTTCGGATCGATAACGTCGTAACTGTAATAAATCCACTACTCATCTTTCAAAGAATGTGCATAGCGAAACAATCAGATGAAGAGCTGCAAGAATACCTTCAATACGAGCTGGCACCATTCCCTATGTCTCTTTTCACAGAAGATGGTATGCGAAAAACAGATAAATCAGCTATTTATAAATTATTCTCGCCGTGTACCAATGATATCGAATTTGAAAACAGTATACACGTTATCGATGGAGGTTTTTTGTTACGCAGAGTGGTTTGGCGTCGCAGTGAGTCGTTTGGGTCAATTTGCGAAAGCTACGTATAGTTCGTGAAGTCAAAATACCAATCGAATGCTGTTATAGTTTTTGATGGTTACCCAGACGACACAGCAAATCGTGGTACAAAGACTGCAGAACATATCCGTCGATCGCGAAAGCATTTCTCAGCTGACGTAATTTTTGATGAAACCATGGTGCCTACAGTTTCTCAAGATAAATTTTTCGGAAATGAAAATAATAAAAGACGATTCATTTCAATGTTAATAAGCAAACTTAAGGATGCAAACTTCACCGTTAAACAAGCCCTAGAAAACGCTGATACACTGATTGTCAATACGGCTATTGACACCTCATCTGAGTTTGATTCGGTCGTAATCATTGGCGAAGATGTGGATCTTCTAGTTCTCTTGACAGCTCTAGCTCCAAAACAAGCCAACATATATTTTATCAAACCGGGCAGAGGCAAAACCGAGCAACAGGTGTACTCTACTTCAGGGCTGCAGTCACAAGAAATGGCAAAACATGTACTGTTTCTCCACGCATTTAGTGGTTGTGATACCACGTCTGCTTTCTTTAACGAAGGCAAAATTAAATTTTTCAACACGTTGCAGAAGAATCCACATTTGGGAAACATTATACAAATTTTTAATGATCATGACGCTATGCCTAAAGATATAATCGCTGCTGGAGAATGTTTTCTTCTAGCAGTATACGGATGTACCGAAAATGAACACATGTCGTTAGATGCGCA